TTTAACACATCACAGTATGAGAGTGGTTTCACGTTACAAACATTTTGTGACGAGTAGGCACGAAGAATGTCCGATGATTGGAGCAGGAATGCGGCATTTAGATCATCAGCATCCACATATACGTTCGACCGTACTTTCTTCCTTCCACAGAGAAGTCTTATACCTTGCCACAGATGTTTGCTGTTTCCAGTCCTCAGAATGGATGACGAGATTTCAGTNTTTCAGTTTCTCCATAGTGCCAGTTCAGTTTTGGCGACAAGCTTTGCAATAGCTCTCTGGAGTACAGTGTTGTATTCTCTTACCCTTTGCAGCCCTATTTCCTGCTGCTTAATCCTATGACTAGGGCTCAAGTCCAACTTTTTCGGGGTGGGCCTCTCCTTGGGGCTCCGATCCCTTCGATTTCGAGAACCCCTTCCCTTGCTGATTTTTCTTGCGCTTAGTCTATTTTTTACAGTTAGGGTGACGTCCGTTTGCTGAGGGCCTCGGTGGCCTCGGTGGCCTCGGTGCCGTCAGCTATCTGCTGAAAAACAGCACCCTGTGCAAAGCAATCGATTACAGTGACGTCCAGACTTGTGATAGCAATGAATTTAGAGCCCTCGCCGATTTCCGAGTCTAGGTCCTTCTTCTCTAATGCTCCCTCCTCTTCTATTCGGCTAGCCAGTAGCTCAGTGCACAACGGACAAACCCACATCAGAATCCTATGGTGTATGTATAGTTCGAAGGCTTGTATCGAAAGCTCGCTGCAGCACAGCTGAAACCACTTGATATCCCTGTGCTGTCGTTTTCATTTGGCTCATTTGGCTGAATTCCGTGGCACATGCTAACCAGGTAGCAGTGTTCACTTTCTCAACCATCTTCCTATTAGTACACAGATTCAGCTTCAAAGCTAGATCTGTGGAACATGACACATCTTGGTACATACTTTTACAGCTACTGTGACCCATTATTCCTTAATTGATATTCCTCTGATTTCATCATGAATCTGCCTCTAAATCTGTATCTTCATTCTTATATCAGTACAGGTTTAAGAACCCCGTTTGAGCATTACCGCTCAAATGATGTCGGTGTTACCTGGACTAAAATGTCCTTCATAAAACCTTGTTTCTTCTGCTTGACCTCCTTTTGACCACTTGATTCTATCCTGCTTAGTTTTTTGGCTGCTGGTTGGACTTAGATAGACTTCGTAAAACTCCTTCCTCCGTAACCTGATTTTTTCCGTCTCACGGAAAGGTTTTCATTCTTGTCTTTATTGCATGGTCTTTTGAGTGGCAATTATTATTATTATTAATTATAATTGATTGAGGCTGCTTAGTTGGTTCAAATACATCTTTTAGTTCTTCGACTGTCCTTAACTTGCAGCATTAGGTTGAGCGATAACATGCATGCTTTCTCTTCTCCCTCCTCTCATCAACTAGAAACTTACCTAGACTGCTTTTTATTTTCATCTTCGTTTTCAGAGATCTACTGCTGTCAGAAAAACGGCAACTTCTGTCGGATTGGACCGATATGCAACGGCAAAGAAAACCGAAGTATAATCGAAAAATTAAAGCAGGCTCCTATGGACACTGCTATCAACCCTTTCCTTAAACAAACTCAGTGACCCCATGCTCTGTTTGTTCAATCGGTGATAGAATACCTGGCGAGTTCGGAAACCATTTTTCCCCGTTTTGACCCGATTACCCTCACCCAAACAGTGATAGTACCCAGGAGCTAGTCCTACTTGCATGACTTTATTTATGTGTATTTTTCAAACACAAATCTCCGAGCACATCCATACACAAAAACTTTCAAAAAGCTCCATCCATTCAGGCTTTGTCTCTGTTCATCTTCATACGATGAACGTTTGACATTTTTACCGTGTCCGATACTGGATGTTTTCATTTCTCGTCCTGGGTCAAACTCAATCCTGAATAATACAATTCATTTAAATGTATACACATTTTCAATTATTTCAATTCCTCCTGTGTGACTTTTCTTCTCCATACATACTTATCAGCAGGACTACAAACGGTCAGAGATGTGCCACTTTGCTCACCTTGTGTTTTATCAATCCCCGAATGAACCAAATTTCCAGTGACCGTTTTATGGTCCTCTTTATTTTTCGCGCGTAAACGTGATTGCGTTCCGTTGTTTTTTTAACCCCACTAAACTCTGTCAACCCAAATGTTTTATCATTTGTTGTACAAAATGATCATGCTCCCCAGCATGTCTCACGACTTTGGTCGTGAAATATATTATTATTAAATTCATAGCATATTCCCTCCCGGTCTACGTTCCTCCAGCACTCACTGCTTCTACATGGGAATTCCCTCTTCTCATTAGCTACGGCCTTTGCCCCACTGCGCGATGATCCGGTTTCACAAGTCATTTTACTGCGTGATGTGCCTCAGTAGAAAGGTAAGGGCTAGTGTCTTTCGCAAACATTGAGTCTATTTTCACACGGTGTGACTGAAGCTATATACCTGGATTGATCACCGAAAATTTATGTTAGCACACAAAACACTGCGGTAACGTTGCCCAAATGGGTAAAAGCTGGTAGCAGAGAAGTAGGACGATTGAACACTACAAGCGTTAGTATACCAGACCGCAATACTGTCTGCTTGTAGCTGTTCCGACTGGAGCTCTTTTATACTTTTAAAGTCCTCGGGCGTTATACTCCGTTTTTTGCTGTTATGTAAAAGCTGCAGGCGGCCTCCACTATCCAAGGAATGCCGCCCGTAGATTTACGGAGTTGGCTGACTTGGACACCTGCGGCGTGACGTTTTTAGGAACTCTTGTTCCTCGCGTCCGAGACTGGTAATTGTGTTCATTTTGACTGGCGTTTTGGCGTATTTGCTACAAATGTTACCTAGCTGCGGCCCACCGACACCATTCAGTGTGATGAGGTTCTCTGCGCTTCGTCCCTGAGATTATCTCTCTCTGAAGAAAAGGACTTTTCTGCTACCCTTTCTGGTGTTGCAGCAGCTAAGTTGTATTGATCGATATGTGAGAATCCTTGCTGTAAATCCCAGACAATCCACTGTGATTCCACATTTCGTGAATTTCGAGTTTCATTCACCTAACACAATTCGCCTCATACATACAGAAATATTTGACGTTTCACCTTCCAGGCAAATTTACATCGATGCCAGTGTTTGACTTCGTTTGTTTTTTTGCGTCCTTTGTACACTTCTGGATCAATTGTTTTGGTGACGTTCGTGGATCTAATTTTGTATTTTGCAACAAGAGAATGATAATTACGGTATATCTCACGCAGCCCGTGAAGCATGATCAAATGTATAACAACGTAAAAATGACAGTGGCGACAAAAAGTAATAGTACAGAGTGTAAGAACGTAATTTCCAAACGGGTACGAAAGATATCGTAAATGTGTAAGAGGCCGTCACGGGAGAAGACTCGTAAAGAATCAGGGATTTGTATTGTATGTAACGGCAGTGAGCCTTCAACTGTCTCCGGGATCTTCTTCTGTGGTTTGGCAATCCTTCACTGTTTTGACAATGACTGGATGGGCTGCAACGCAACGAAAAGGCAGCTCCGTCAGAACCTCACAAATCAAAGTGCCCGGTCTAATTCAACTAATGTTTTCTTCTACACAGCTTTCTTCTCACTGACAGCACCATCCCCGGTGCTACTCCTATACCACCTTGAGCTGGTACTTTGAGTTCTAATCCCACATCGGGTGTCGAGTCGTTACGTTCTTCCTGCTGGATATACGATTTCAACCGATTGAAATGAACTACCATAGATTGGGCGTGAGTTTGATTTACAGCCCTGATTAAGCATGTTGCTTCAGAGAGCACTTTGAGCACCTCATACGGGCCGCGTCATTCCTTGTGTAATTCCGTCGCTACTTCAGGGTTCGGTGTACTGACGTGTAGTCACACCATCTACCCCACTCGACAAGGTGTCCCAAGAGACTTTTTTCGCAGTATTCCTTTTGGTGTCTCTGAGCAGTTTGTAATTTTGTTCGCGCCGCCCATTGTGCCCCACGCAGAGTATCGAGAAGCTCACACAAGTAATCTGTTGCCATGGAACGCGGCTGTGTTACTGCTGGTAGTCTGGTGTCCGATGGAAGAAGGATTTCTCTGCCGGTCCACAGGAAGTGAGGGGTATGTCCCGTGAAAGCGTGAACCAAACTGCGATAAGCCAACAGACAATTGCTGAGTGTGAGATCCCAATCCAAAACATTCTTATCCGTAAACGCCTTAAGTAATGCCTTGAGCGACCTATTGGTTCTCTCCACTAGCCGATTTCCTTATGGGTGTTACACTTTAGTTCGCGTTTTATCAATTCCTAACGCCCTACATAATTCGTGCATTAGGACGCCTTCGAAATTCGCTCCTCTATCACATTGTAACTGGTTAGGCGCACCCCATTTGCAAATCCATTGTTCCACAATCGCGTTGGCCGTTTTAGCAGCATTGGCTTGCTCTACTGGAACCACTTCACACCACTTTGTGAAATAATCAACGATCACCAGGATGTATTTATTACCTCTTCTTGTCACGGGAAGTGGCTCCATCATATCCACACCGACCATTTCGTTTGGGTATCCCGCAGACATTGTCTGTAATGGAGCCCGGAAAGCCATCTGTGGGTTTTTACAACTGCCACAGCGTTCGCATGCAGTGCACAAATTTCTTAGATCCCTCTGCATGTGGGGCCACCAAAACCTTTGCAGAGTTGCAAATTCAAGTTTGCTCGTCCCTGCGTGATCCAATAGTTGGTGAAGGTTCGTTAGGACTTCTTTCGTCATGGATTGGGGGACAATAATCTGACTTGTATAATGCTCCTCATGATGGAAAAAGAGCACATTCTCTCTCATGACTAAATTATGCCATGAAGCACATAGTTACTTGCTTTCATAGCCTGCTCCTTCCATCTCCTTCCCGTCCGGTGTTGTCCCGTTTTCTTTTATCCTATGATAAATTATTGCCGTCTCTGCATCTGCAGACTGCACGTGCGCCCAACGTTCGTACTCCGTCCCCTCTAGGCTCACCACTGTTACGTACTGTTCTTTGCAAGAGGGACAATCCCCATGGTTACGAGCCGGTCTTCTTGACGAGGCGTCCGCGTTCGCATACTGCTCTCCCAGGCGATGTGGACGGTCAAAACCGTATTCTTGTAGCGCTTCTTGCCACCTCGCTATTAGTCCCTCCGGATCTCGGAAATTCTGTAACCATTGCAAAGAATGATGATCCGTGCCAACAATGAATCTCTTACCTATTAAATAGTGTCAGTAATACTTTACGAAGAATACTAGTGCTAGCATTTCCCGTCTGGTGGCACAGTAATTTCTTTCAGACTTGTTTAGACTACGGCTTCCATAGGCTATAACCCGTTCACGTCCGTCAGCGTCCACTTGCCATGTTACCGCGCCAATCTCCAAATCACTAGCATCAGTATTAAGTATACCACTCCCACAGGAACTGGATACATCTGGAAAAGCCAGGATTGGTGCTGAACATAGTTTGGCTCGCAACATTTCACATGTTTCCCCGCACGCTGTGTCCCATCAAAACGCATGCCCTTTTTCTAACAACGCATTGAGTGGGGCAGTTATTCTGGCGTAGTCGACTATTAACCTTCTAAAATATGTAGCGAGGCCCAGGAACCCGCGCACTTTATTTACATTTTGAAGTATCGACAATGATTGCATTTCTATAACCTTCTGCGGTTCGGTGCGAACCC